CGACGCAGCATCAAAATTTCTTTAGAATCCTATCCCTTTTATTCACAACCGCACAAAGTTGAGGATTAAATCCAGATTTCTTGATCAGGGGATCAATGTGAAGTAGGCTTAATTTTTGTGACTGGCAGTGTCAAGAGGGCAAAATAACGTGTAAATAGCTGACCCGAAGGGTCATTCAAGTACAGTCCAATTTAGACTGCAGTTTTTGATGATAAGCCCTTGTAACAGTTTTTCAAAAACTTGAGGTTTAGGTGATATTTGATCCCATAGAACACCAGCTCCAAGTGTCAATACCAACCAACTAATTAGACAGCCTCTTTCTATGCATGATTACGTATCAAGCTCTCTCTCGTTGCATACTACGCTTTTTTTAAAGAATAGTACAATTTTTCATCAGAAAAAACAATAATACAATAATTAAAAAAAATACCATAATAATCTAATAATATTAACTAGATAAGGCATTAATACATTTACTTAGAAAACTTAAAATACTACAATTAATAAAATAAAGTCTACAAGTAGCTTCTATTAATGTTTAAAATGCGTGATAAATACTATTTAAAAACTTAACTAGTTGGGTCTCTACTGTCTTCAGGGTTTGATTGTAAGTTCACTGGTTTGATTGCTTTTACATATTATTAATAAGTCATCTTGGTACCTGTGCTTTTTATCTGTAGATACCTTGATTATTACAAAGCAAAGCCAAGTGGAAACCATCAACTGTACAAAGTTGGCAGCAATTTATCTGCAGATTTAATCCACAAACAATATAAACAGGCCAGCACTAGGGTGTTCCTGTCTGCCACTGTCGCAGGGGGAGCCAAACAGTTAACTCTCCACCTGACTTGGGGCAAAGGAAAATCACCACCACAAATCAAGGTAAATGCTGAATCACAAGTGATTGCCATAGTAAAAGGAATGAGAAATGTATCTTCTTGATGGCACTTGAATGCTTGATGTCCTTATTTCCATAATCCTGATTCACATCTGGCAAAAATTTCAGCCATAGCTGTAAGTCAAGATAACAAAGAGCCAGTTATTGACCAAACTTCAACATTACAGTGTTTGTAGAAGGATTAGATACATTTATCCAATTGTACTTAGTAAGGTAAATAAAGCACTTGCACTGATTAGATGAGATGTTTGTAGCCATGTCTGCTGAGTCAGTAATTGCTGAATGCTGCATACCTAGTTTCAAATTGAATTAATTAGTAATCTGTCTCATGTCCAGGTGTACAAGCTCCTTCAACTTCCACACAGAGTCAGCTGGAGAAAGGTACCATTCTCTTAACCTTTGATTAAGTTCGTAATTATGTAACTTCTCATAACCTTCTATGTTGATATTGGATATGATTGTAAGGTTCTGGCTTTCATATTCCATTTAGGGACAATTGAATTAAAATCAGCAAGATCATGAAAAAACATTTGTACATGACTTTATAGTTTCCAGATACTGGATTTGAACTCAAACTGACCACCAGTCTTACATCCAATCAGCAGCAACATTACTCCCTTAGTTAAACCACTGAATCTCACAATTATCTTGTCAGGTGAACTTGGGCCCCAATATCATGGCGACCAGCGTCCAGGAACTTCATGTATATTGTTTGAAATTCGAATCAACAAAAGATAATTTAAGCCAATGCTTGGTCTGCTTTCTCATGTTTTAATTTCCTTTCTTCTCTCTTTTATTTGATACTCAATTAACTTGTGTTTTCCCCTTCATTTTGCAGTGGGTTCAGTGACTTTCAAGCTCTCGGACTCTGGACTTAAATACTCAGGTACCACGAAATCAATACATAAAGGGAGGTTTTAGCGTATAAGATAATTTCAGGATACATTTGTAGCTTATCGTTAGTAGTTGTAGCAAGAAAGAAATTTTTTGTTCTACTTTCCCATGACACAACTGTTACCATCTCCATTGCATATATAGCTTATGGCTGCATTTGACTTCATACATATGTCCATTCTAAGAACATCACCCATTGTGAACCATTTGATAGTTTCTCTTAAAATCTCTTCAGTTCTAACTTCAATAGTGCCCCTATTTACTATGAGCATAGAATGGAAAACTGACCTAAATATGGTTGTATGGGGGATGGGGGTTTGGGAGTAAGAGCTATATAATAACACTCTGAGTGGCAGTGGGATCAGATGAGCTCTAAAGTAGACATTAACTTTTACCTTTGCAGGATTGTGTACAGATGGTTTTTGCCAAACCGTATTTCATTTAACTACCGCAAATATTTGTCCTGGAGTTTCCTTCATTGGAATCCCATTCATAGCTGTAAGCTAGTTGACATTATACCATAGCTCTAGTAAATGTAACCGGTAAAAAAAAACCTGAAAATAATTATTTTTATAAAGGTGTTTTCAAAATATGCAGTATGCTAGAAGTTTGGATTCATTGTAATCATATATTACTATGTGGTGTGGTAGTCTTGATGTAACTCCAAGGGTTCTGATTGGTTCTTGCTTGGTTGGTATTTTTTTCTGGTGGAGTCAGTTTCCACGGAAACAGACATAAGCTGTGCTGTATCATTTTCTTTTTCTCGAAAACCGCAAAAATTCAAAGTAAACATATATTTTCCAAGAACCATATACTAATCTACTTACTAACATCACTAGCTCAAGCCATACTGAGGAATATTGTCCCTTAGTTGTTTTTGTATGGACCTTGCTGTACCCAGTCTGTACTGCCACAGAGGGTCAGCCTTTTCCTGACTTTTTTCAAGCAGGTATGCTTTACACAATGAGATATTCTTTCTCCTTTTAGCTTTGTTATCACATTAAAAGAGGCCTTCAGATGGCGGTGATTGTGATTTTAAAGGCTTCACACACTCTCTCTTCTGCAGAGAGAGACATGTTGAGGTAGCTATGATTATCATTTTAATAAGTATCGGGAATGTTTTTCAATATCTCTATTTTCTATATATGTATCCATACCCATACATACTGTTCAGTTACCACATCTCCCACTCTGTATTCCTTAAGCATTTCAAATTTCTTATTTTTTGGTTATACAGTGACCTGAATAATGCCGTCATAAATGACATTTAGGCTCAAGGGGTGCCTTTTTATTCAGAGGAGGGGGCATTTATTAGGGCATGGGCACTTAATCAAGGAAATGCAGTAACCAAACACCAAAAATGATATTAAGCTTTTACATAAATTGTGTAGATCGCAAGCTAGTTTTACCATTAGGAGGAAATTAAATGATTTTTTTTCTGTTTCTAGCCATGCAGGCACTTGGTGGCCAAACTCTTGGTGCACCTCAGATTATTCTGTGTACACCATCCATGGGGGGGTCAAGCCAACCCACACCTGTGGAGAGATATGCAGGTAAAAAATTCAATTGAGTTTTGCTTTACTCTAAGATAACTTCTATTCTGGAAAAGCCTCAGCCATTAACTGAAAATTTGAAGGTTACTGTAGGAACTCTCTTGATGCAAAAGTATGGGTATTTCCTCATAGTGCATACAAAACAAGAAAATCAAAGCTAAAGCTATTATAATTAACTTTCTTTTTTGTTATTTTTACAGGGAGCTTTTTTGACTTTTCCCAAATAAGTGAGGCGGTGCAAAGGGCAGCAGAAGCCGTGGAAATTGCACATGCCAACTGGTAATAGATCTTTCTGGAGTCCCTTTCTTGTTGGATAAAGCTTTAATTTTATGTGCACCATGATATTCCAATATGGTACAATTTTGTCTGATACATGGGCAAAATTGATTAAAGACCTCATGTAATCAAAATAGTGCTCAAAAAATTGTTGTCAACAGTACTGAGCAACTTACTGGACATATTTTAATAGCCCAGGCTTGCATAATTGTCAGGCTGAAAAAAGTGTTCATTTTGCCTAAAAATGGCCATAACTTGGATCAAGTTGTAATCAAATAAATTAAACCAAGCTTGCATCGCAGAAAAAACTGTTAAGTCCTGAAATCAACTATACCTGTCACTCTGATGAAGGGCTAACACTCAAAAGGCAAGCGTAGAAACTCTTTACAGTGTCCAATTTGCATTTATTTAAGATTATCTTATTTTACCCTATAATGTGTCAATTGTCTCTAAACATATTTTATTACTGCTAGGAGGAAGATTTTGGAATCATGAGCTTTGCAGAGTGAACAAGATGAGGTGTGCCATGCAGCTCAGGAAGCAGATGCTTCTAGAGTATGGTTATTTCAACAGATTTTTACCTTAAAACAAGGAGATTTCTTTAGCCTTCTTCTGCCTTAACCTTCATTATTACAGTGGTTGATACAGCCTTTATTTTCATACATACAAGTTATAGATTGATTGGCTAGTGGGCAACAGGTTAAATGTTTTTTGATAATTATATGCACCAAACTAGTCAGCAAGAAGGGGAAAAGGACTGAATGGTAATTTAGAATTTGATTGCATCAACCATTACAAATCATTTGAGGAAATTCATCATTCCAAATGATGAAAAAATTGATTTCTTTTTAGAACCAGCTGCAAACAAATATTTCTGTCAATAACACTTAAAGTTAGAGACTTAAATTTGGTATCAGCTACATCTTAATTATAAATGTTCTTACTTAACAACAGAGGAACCAACAACAAGGTGCAGCAAGGCCAACATTTCAACCTACAGAAAGAAAAGACAGAGAATTAAGCCTCCCCGTAAATGATATGGTAAGTGCTTCATATCTGAAATAATAAAGACTGTATTTGTGTTGTTTTAAAATGCTCTTTCACATAATGCAAACCCTTTTGCAGCTTACTTAAATGGGGTTATACATACATTTCAACTCTCACAGCCAGCAAACATGCTCAATGAGATCTGGAAAAACATAATTATAAGAAGAAATAGATAAAATATTTCAAAGGTATACATTTTCTATCATTATGTTGTCTTTTTCAAGATACAAGTAGCTCTTAAGATTTAATGAATGGAAAACAAATATGTTTCTGACACAGGCCGAAGAAATACGCAATTTGCGAGAAAATCGGATGAGAAAAGGACCAAAAGATGGTGTAAAGATTAAAGTTTACACACCCAGTTGTTTGTTCAAAAGAACGTTTCACAGAGGAGGTTGCTATCAAGTAAGTATGCATGATAACCTTGAAAGCAAATACAGCTTTAAAATAATGTACACAATAATCCAAATGTTTTGATATTTTAAGAAATTATAAGTGTTATAATAGCACCACAACATGAGAAAGGAGATTTGCTTTTAAAAAGTGCTGCTGCACATCCCCTCATGTAGCTCATATTATGCAATTTTTTATTAACTACTTGTAGGAGGTGTATGACTGGCTTGGGAGTAGCCAGATGCAGCCATTGTTCTTTTCCCTGGAGACACAGGAAAACAGGACAGTATTTCCAACAGAGGCTATTAAACCTCCTGGAGAGGTGCTGCGGCTAGTAGAAAAGGTATTGAATCAATTAACCAATTCAAGTATTGGTGTGTGGTATTTTTAACCCTTGAATTAGGTTCAAACCCCATGTTTCTTTTTTTGCAATCAAAAACTGCAGGTTATTTGATAATGCCATTCGGAGAACTTTGTTATCTTGTGAGCAATATTCAGTTTTCATCAATCACTGTATGTTGGGCAACACTCTAAAATGAACTACATGTTTGAACATTCTTTGCCAGTCAGACTAGAACTGAGTTGAAGTTTTTTTCTTTACTTTCAGTCTGAAGAGGAAATGGAAAAACTCATGTCAGAGTCCCCAGAAAAAGTAAGTACACATGTTGTACTTACAAGTTGAGGCTTTTTAACACTCTATTTCATCTCTCCTGACTTTTCATACTGCTTCATCCACATGGCCACATTTATCATAACATGTACCAGAACACCTCCATATGTGTGTATCATCTGTTGCCTGCAGATTGCAATTCTTTCTGCCTGTGTAATTTTAGCCAGACATATTCCAGTTTTTTTTTGTCTGGTTAAATGTTGGGATTAGGTGATATAGGAAACCTTAGCTAGGGTTAGATTTGCCAGCAGCTGCTTGGCTACAGATGCTTACACACACAAGCCTGGTTAATTTGATGACCATTATCTTGGTTATATTGTTAGTCACTAATTCCATATGTTCTCATCAAGATAATATAATTGAACATCATTATTATAAAATACTATTATAATAGATTACTTTTACTTTATAAGATCCTTTTAATGCCTATAATGTACATCCCTTGATATTTTGAAAGGTTATAGTGAACATTCATGTTATATTAAAGCATCTACAGTTAGTAATGAATTTCCTGAACACCTATGATGATAAAAAAAGACCCTGTCCTTGCTTAAATGACAGAAAACACAAGGGATGTTTTCAGAAAGTGTATAAAAGTGTTTAAGTATGAGATTGAACGTAAAGATTTTGCATTTAAGATTAAGTGGATTGGAGAAATTTAGCACGTTTAGTTATTTTTAATGCCCCAGTCTTCTATGTTTTTAACTTTTTTAAGTGCATCTTTTTTTTTCTTCTGGTCATTTTTTCCCCCTTCACACAGTTTTCAAAGTTTACGTGGTTAGTCTTTTAATGCATTTGGTGATTAAATTTTAATTTACTGTTGAGAACATCTACAGTGTTTTCTGTCAATGCCAAATCCAAGAGCAATTTTGCGAGCATTGCTTTAATAATAGGTTCACATGCACACATTTATAGATAACTGAAAAGGAAATAGGGAGGGCATTGACATCTGTCCCTTTACGTACTTTTGCAACTAGAGAAAAACACACCTGAAATTCCTCAACTCAATGTATTTCAGAAAATCTTACAGCTAGATTTAGTGTTGGAAGGTGCTTTTGTACCTGGAACTTGCAACCTGTACTATAGAGGTGGATGGTGTGTTCCTTTGCAAGGTCTCACCTAGAGCTCTATTGCTAGATTTGACAGCGGAAGGTGCTTTTGTACTCTGGAGCTTGCAACTTCTACTATAGAGGCCAAAGGTGTATTTGTCTGTAACGGCACAACTAGGGCAGGGGTTCACCTGGTGTTCTATTACTAGATTTAGCAGTGGAAGGTGCTCAAGTACTCTGGAGCTTGCTATTTCTACTATAGAGGCAGAAGGCGTGTTCCTCTGCGAGGTTTCACCTGGAGTTCTATGACTGGATTTAGCAACGGAAGGTGCTTTTGTACTCTGGAGCTTGCAACTTCTACTATAGAGGCAAAGGTGTGTTCCTCTGCAGCCCTGGGTGAGGACTCACCTGAAGTTCTATAGGTAGATTTTGTGGCGGAAGGTGCATAAGTACTCTGGAGCTTGCAACTTTGACTATAGAGACGGAAGGTGTATTCCCCTTGCGAAATGGCTTTTGGAATTCCTAGGAATTCCTAGGAAAATCCTAGGAATTCCTAGGAATAAAGGTGTGAATTTTCACGGTAAATTCGGACTGGGAATTCCTAGGAATTCTTAGGAATTCCCAACCATAGCAAGTCTGGTTCTAAAAACCTAGAAATTCCTAGAAATTCCCAGAAATTCCCAGAAATTCCCAGAAATTCCCAGAAATTCCAAGTTTATAGCCAACAGGACTTGGAATTCCTAGGAATTCCCAGGAATTCCATGGAATTCCTACTCAGAGAACCAATGACTTTCCCTGAAAAGCTGTAAATCTAAAAAATTCCTAGGAATTTCTGGGAATTTTTGGGAATTTTTGGGAATTTTTGGGATTTTTAGGAATGTTTAAGAATTACAGGGAATTTTAAGCAAAAATTTGAGGCTAATGATATAAAATAAATACTTTAAATTAAAAAAACCCAGCTAAAAATTCAAGTATTCAATGAAATTTATTTAGAAGCTTAATTAAGGCTTACATGTAAAATATTTTTGATTAATTGTTAACATCAATGTGTGGTAATATTAGGATGGAATTTGATTTATTTTTCTTTTCTTGAAAATTTCATACGGATTAATCCTCAATTACAGCTATTCATATAAAATAGTTCTAATCAATCATTAAATTTGGTTTGACACAAATTTTGAATAAAATCTGTTGATTCTTTTCCATAAAATACAATATCTTAAGTTATATTTATATAGTTATATTCTTGGGAGTGAAGGGGCTAATTACAGACAAATAAAATTGATTTTTTGATTAAAATCTTGTTGTAACTGTAACAATAAATTAGAATGAAGTTATCCTAAACTGCAAACTTAGCTGCTGTTTGTACTGTTTGTATTTTTTTTCCTGGGCTCACAACGAGTTGGCCTTTTATATTGGAGTTAGTACATCTCTCTCATGGATTTTACTAAAAAAGGGCTGAATACATTATTTTGTTTTTACCAAGGAGGGCTTCTTTATGTACTAAGGTTTGTTATGAATCTTGAATGTTCCCAAACGTGACTAGAGGAATCTTGAAACCTTACTGATAGGTTTGTTTCATTGTAAAGCATAAGCTTAAGAAACTGCGGCATGCAAGTGACCGATTCGATTCTCAGAATTATTCTAGTTTCAGTTGCGCCGAGCGTTATGTAAGCTTAATTCAACCCGCTACATCTATTCTTTTATAAGATTTTGATCACAACGAATATCGCAATTTTTACTCACCACAAACTTTCAAAATCGTAGCTTTACAGATGGCCACTCGACCCTTGTTTGTACCGGTCCATATGTCAACTGTTGTCCCTTCTTCTAACTCCACGGCGCCAACGACTTTCTTCTCTTTTACAACACTCACGCTATTCTCGTTTTCCCATTGAACCACAATAAAAGCTATCTTTAGAAATGTTATATCAAGCAAAACAGTTGAGAAAAGCGATCAACCGATGAAAAGTACATTCAAAGATGAGCGCCAAATGGAGTCTTCTTTGTTTCCGATCACGGGCATGATCACGTTGATCTTTTAGGACTTGTCATTGGCTAGCAAAGTGAATCCGCTGGCTTGCCGATTGCAGTGTTAAGAGAAGCGCCCAACTTTATTCTGACTTCTCCGACCGGTTCTCTGCTTCTAGAAGATGGATAGCTTGGTGATATAAATAAAGATGTGAGCTCACTCTATGTAGAAATAATCGACAAGAATCGATCGTATTACAAATGCACGATTTGTGGCCGAAAGTTGTCGAGGAAACAAAGACTCGAAACTCACTTGAGTTGTGTTAATGGCAAAGGTGAGAAATAACACAAGCCAATCACAGTTTTGAATGCGACTACAAATCGTCTTTTACCCTCATATTTATAAAAGAAGGATACCACATTCGGAAGTGTAAGAGATACATAGATGATCCCAGTGTACCAGTACCTAAATCTACAAAGCTTGACCGTAACAAGCGTTCAGCAACACGTTCCAACACCGCCATCTCGATTCCTCAGTCAGTCGTTTCCACTGAACTTAAAGCAGTATTGATAACAGAGTAGAGTGCGTCTTACAAAGGAGAAACATTTGTACAAGAGACAGGAGTAGCTATATGCGATTACAGAGGTGCGTTGGAACTCTGGTCCACAAATAGATATGCACTGCCCGAAGTAGAAAACAATTTTGTTGATAGCTGACAGATAGAGAAGAACAACAAGTAAACTTAAGAGCTGTTATTATTGAAGTGTGACTAGCACTTTTCATTTTTATATAAAGAAGGACTTGTAATTTGCATCAAAAATAAAAAGATGTAATATTTTTTTGGGAGATCCAGTGATTGGGACATTTAAGAAATTAAGTTATGAAAGGAAACTTGGTTGGTACTTCTCACTACTAACAAGTCTTGTTGACAAATATTTTCAGATCAGAGTTTCAAATAAAGTAAATTGAAGACGTCATATAAAAGGTGTTTTTCCTCAAAGGGTACATTGACTACCTCTGTCTTGTCTGCATGCCAAATGTTTGCAAAGTGTGTGGATGATCCACAAGTATTGGAACTCTTACAAAAATGTTTTGTAAGAATAAAAACAGCAAAACAAATTACAGCAATTAGTCATGAAAATAGAGCAAAAAACTGAAAAAAAGCAGCAACAACAATCATGAAAAAAGAAAGATTAATTAGGTGTTGAATTTGTTTGTCTAAGGCATGAAATTTCTACTAAAAGTATTGTCAACAAAAAGTCTCTGACAGTGTTTGAGGCAACTGAGCTTGACTGTTCCAAGGTTTTCTAACAAAGGCAACCAGTAATGTAGGTTAGGGAAGTAAGATAACAATGTAATTATTGTTAATTATTGTGGAAGTTGGCAATTTCCATTTAACATAACTGACAGCTGGTTCATGAGAAAATCCATATTAATGTAAAGATTTACTAAAACTTAGTTTGAGTACTAAATTTCATGATCTTTAAGTTATAATCATGTACATGTATGTATATCTCTTGGTAAGTTTTGTATAGCATACCTTTTATTGAGCCAAAGTTTTAAGCCTCTGAAATAACTCTTTTTCTTAAAACCTTCACATTCAAGGTATTGAGAATTTCTTAGAATTTATGTGGACCTCAGGGTATTAAAATTGCCTCAAATTCAATTCCCAGAAATTCCACACTTCTTAAATTATAGGTAGTTTGTAAAACTGAGAATTCCTAGGAATTCCTAGGGATTCCAAGTCCTCACAAAACTGGAGTCTTCCTTTCCCAGAAATTCCCAGTAATTCCAAGCTTTTTAAATCAGAGTTAATTTGCATAGTTGGGAATTTTTGAGAATTCCTAGGAATTCCCAGAAATTCCCAGAAAACTGGGAATTCAGTTTGCAAGGGTCATTTGCATAATTGGAAATTTTTGAGAATTCCTAGGAATTCCTAGAAATTCCTAGGAATTCCCAGAAAACTGGGAATTCAGTTCGCAAGGGTCCTCTGTGGTGCTACAACTAGGGCGAGGTTTTACCTAAAGTTGAATAACTAGATTTGGTGGCGAAAGGTGCTTTTGTACTCTGGAGCTTGCAACTTCTACTATAGAGGCAATAGGTGTGTTCCTCTACAAGGTCTCACCTGGAGTTCTATAGCTAGATTTAGCAGCAGAAGGTGCTCAAGTACTCATTAGCTTACAAATTGTACTATAGAAGCGGAAGGTATTTCCTCTGTGGCACCGCAACTAGTGCGAGGTCTCACTTGGAGTTCTATCACTAGATTTGGCGGCAGAAGGTGCTTTTGTACTCTGGAGCTTGCAACTTCTACTATAGAGGCAAAGGGTGTGTTCCTCCGCAGCCCTGGGCGAGGACTCACCTGTAGTTCTATGGGTAGATTTTGTGGCGGAAGGTGCTCAAGTACTCTGGAGCTTGCAACTTCTACTATAGAGACGGAAGGTGTATTCCTCTGTGTCGGTACAAGTAGGGAGAGGTCTCACCTCAAGCTCTATCAGCAGATTTGGCGGTGGAAGGTGCTTAAGTACTCTAGAGCTTGCAACTTCTACTATAGAGGCAAAAGGTGTGTTCCTTTGCAAGGTCTCACCTGGAGTTCTATTGCTAGATTTGGCAGCAGAAGGTGCTTTTGTACTCTGGAACTTGCAACTTCTACTATAGAGGCTGAAGGTGTGTTCCTGTGCGGTAGTGTGACAAGAGCAAGGTCTCACCTGCAGTTCCAAGATTTGGTAGTGAAAGGTGTATTTGTACTCTGGAGCTTGCAACTTCTATTTCAGGGTTGCAAGGTGTTTTCCTAGGTAGGGGCTCTGCCATTGTCACTGTTAGTCCAGATTTACACTTGTTTCATTGAATTAGGAATAAAGGGGTGTTTTTCTCACTTAAGTATCCTTATCAGTTGTAGTATTGTATCATTTCAAAGATATTTTATTTTAATATTAAAATAGAATTAAGGAACTGAAAGAAATGCTGAGAAGTCTTAACTTCCCATTTGTTAGACAAAACTTGGACGTTAAATTCTCCTAGAGAAAGACAAATGAAGATAATCTATTTCTGTAATCAATGATTCTTTGAGCCAGGGATGCTTCCACTCTTCTCCTATTTCCTTCCAGGTGTCATTCAAAGGAACTGGCCCTTTACAAACTGACAAAGATCTTAATTCAACCATTGAGACCAGAGGTATGTTTTGATTGGTTTTTGTTCTAGCCTTGCAAGTGCTTTTCACCTCTTATCTAGCTTGAATGCTTGAGAGTAATGCAAACAACACTATTACCACTGAAAGTAAAGTAACCAGGAAAGTTTGTATACTAAATTAAATTAATAAAATTGTACACTAAAATGGTGTTAATGACCCATTTTTCATCTTGTTTAAAAAGAGTGAAAAATAGATGTGCTCCACAATTATAATTGGATAGTTACAAGTAGATGTACACAGAAAATATTAAGATTTGTTCCCAATATTGGAATATTATTTGACTTTGGTATACATTAAAGAATGTCCTCATCATTTGGAAGTTCAGGTCATCAGTTTTTCAAACTTCTATAATCAGGGTGACCACAAAAATAGTGTGGTCAATAGCCAGTACTTGATTGAAGAAATGCAAGTAAATAACATTACATATTAGTTTAACAATACTTTAAAAATTCAATTTAGCAGATGATAGTAACAAGAGCATTGGAAAGAAAGTTAAGAAGATGAAGAAGAGAATAAAAGAACTGGACAAAAAGGCAACAAAAGGGAAATCAAAAGACACAGATGACAAAAAGAGGAAAAGAAAGAGAAAACCAGAAGACAACAACAAGTCAAACTTAAATGCAAAAAAAATGAAAGCCAAAGAAGATGACATTGAAATGAACAAAATAAGTAGACGTCAAATGAGAAGGCTAAGAGCTAAAGAAAAAAAGAAAAGTAAAACTAATAAGTAGGAAAATCTATCTTAGGTTTTATTGCAAGTGACCATCTATATATATGTATTTCCATTAAAACATTTTTTAGCTATTTTTCTCTAAAGTAAACTTCAAAAAAGGAAACTTTTTATGGACCTTAGCTAGTTATACAACACAAATGTGAGAGAACGAGTTGTACTGCGACTTGCTCCCTCACATTTTGGCTACAACATTTAATGAACTGAAATCAAGAGTCTTAACCCTTTAACTCCCAAGATCTGATAGTTAATTCTCCCCTATAGCTGCTACTCATTTCCTTGCTAATTAGTTATGAGAACTTGCTGCTAGATTAAGATAGCAGCTTCAACCTGACAAGATTGAATATTCACATTATCTGTTTGCTGAATAATGTATGGATATTGTAGGGAGAAGTTTTGTGTTAATCACTTCCAGGAGTTAAAGGGTTAATGCATTGTTTTTATATCTCACTCGTAGGGAATTAATTTATCATCACCTCTCTAAAATACTGAATTTCATTGTATAATTTGTTTAGTTTGATTTCAAAGCACCAGGTGTAAATTAAGATATTTTCACTGATGACGATGTTTAATGTCGTTCTTTTTATTTAAGATTTTTACCTGATGTCTGCTGAATTGTACTCTGTTTGCAAGACAACTTTTTGCTTCAAATACACAACCATTAATACAAAAGAAAGAGAGCCCATAACATGTCATTAACCTTGCTGTTTTAAAATAAAAGATGGGCTTTATACATTGAATTCCGGTTGAGTGGTTACTGATCCCTTGCTTAGTTTGAGCTGGTCAAGTAGTTAACCCTTTACACTCTTACATTGTCAGTCATATTCTGTACCCTGTCTTCTTTGCATCCCCTTGGATCCCATTTCTTATAGTACAGACAAGGAGAATTTGTTTGACAATCAGGAGCCTCTTAAATTGGAGTTAATTTCCACCATTGTCTTGACTTTTACATTTGATCCAAGGGTGATACTGTAAGCAGAAAGGAGAAGCCAGTCGCAATTTGGGGGTTTTAAGGGTTCACTGATGGAAACAGTGAATGATAACCGAAATTTAGCATTTTCGTAGACCGTGCTTGAGATAGTGCTGTCAAATTACGCATTTACTGAGCAACAGCAAATGCATAATATTTAGTTTGACGTTCATTGAGCCGTAGAAAGCTAGATTTGTGAAAAATACGACAATTTTTTTGGTTTAAAATTAATGTACAAGCACACAATATTCGTACACTTTATGTGTTTCGGCTTTCAATTATCAGCTTATGTAACCGCGTGTGCCAGGTACACAAAGTTCAAGAGTTTGCTACACAAAGGTATAACATAACTAGTGGCTAGATTCTATGTGCATACTACGAGTAGAGATTTAATAACCCTACCTCAACAGTCATAACCTCCAAATCAGTGCTTGCTTCAATACTTGCGAAGAAGTGGTGCTTATCGTTTTTGTAAACTAAGTGAACAACTACCCCTAGCCAACGGTGTACCGTGGGAGGTCTGGAACGGAGTCAACCCTGGATAATCCGACTCGTCATTGAGGAATTAATCAAACTCGATCAAACACTCGATTAGTGATGTAGGTTATTATAGGCCTCGATTCTCGATAAGTCTTGTTAGGTTCGGCGATAAGTCGAAATCCATTTAAATAGTAAATACAGACATGGGAAATAATATCAGACACGGAAAATAATATCAGACACGGGAAATAGCAGACAATGAGGAGGTCTGAAAGAGGCCAACAATAACGGACCCTGTTAATTGATTTCCGACACGAAAATTAATTTTTCGATAGAGAAAATACCCAGACTGAATTTTGAACGGTATGTTACGCCATACTGACTAAATTTTGAACGGTATGTTACGCTCTCTGTTGAGGCTCTCTGTTGAGGCTCTCTGTTGAGGCTCTCTGTTGAGGCTCTCTGTTGAGGCTCTCTGTTGAGGCTCTCTGTTGAGGCTCTCTGTTGAGGCTCTCTGTTGAGGCTCTCTGTTGAGGCTCTCTGTTCATGGTCCGAATTTATGGTCTGAGTTCGTGTTCTGAGTTCGTGTTCTGAGTTCGTGTTCTGAGTTCGTGTTCCGAGTTCGTGTTCCGAGTTCATGTTCCGAGTTCATGTTCCGAGTTGAGGTTCTGAGTTCATGTTCCGAGTTTACGTTCCGCGTCCATGTTGTGATCTTTAACTAAAAACCGCTTTGTTAAATCCGGGCATATTTAAAGACAAGATTTTTATTAGTGCGATATGCATTAAAAAAAAAACAAAAATTGCATCTTTTAATAGCCATCTACACAAAGGTAACAATCTTTTTTGTTATGAGACAAACATTAGATCCATGATAACATTTATATGTGGAGGTAAGAATGTCAAATTCGCTAATGTATTTTTTGTCATTGTGAAGGTTGGTCAGGGTATAGTTAGGGATGGTGAGGGAGCATGAACCCATCCACTTCAACCTTCACGCATGGAGTGCAGTTAGAGATGGAAGAGGGGATCTTACGATACTTGGCTAGCTGTTGGGAGGATGGTTGAGGAGGGGAGGGGAAGGAGTTTTATTGTAAGCCAAAGGAATGGGACTAAGGAAAGGAAGTGGTGGGGAAGTATTGAATACAGTTATCTTTACCAGACAGATTCTTGAATCTTAATTTGTATCAATCAGCTTCCTGAATCACTTAACCTTAAACAACAGCTCTTGGTTGCTTTGTGGTTTACAACCTAAATTTTGCGATGCTTCATACCTTACTGTATCCAAATAGGTACATTTTCCAAAAAAGCAAACGTGAATGCCGAAAGCACCAAAAAGAAATCCAGCCCTTCACTCGTAAAATCACTTCACTCCTCACAGCCCCTCACTCATTCAATCCGAACCACATATGGTAGATATGGTTTCTCACGCTCGAAATTTTTAATCTAAAACGATAAAATCGTACTGAATATGCGAAACTAAGAACTATCTACAACAGATGTCTTGTTTCCTTTATTTATCAACCATGCATTGTTCCTAGAAATAAACGTAGTGGCTGACGTGAATCAGGAATTAATGGAGTTCTGAAAAATCAGATGGAAGTTCAAGGCATTGATTTGATGTTGAAGTAGAATACATTTAGTGTTTAATATGATAGAAATTAAATTTAACGATGCAATAAATGGTAGGTCTTCTCGTTAAGATTTCTGTACTTTGCATGCTTTCTTAACAGTGTATCAACCTCTAAAAGTTCTAGTAAGTCAACAAGTGTCGGTACAAGCACCTCAACATCAGCTTCCACAAGTGTGTCCACTTCGACCTCAGCAACTGTGAGCACTCCAACGACATCAGTTTCAAAGACATATTCCAGTGCAAGCACAAGTACCTGAACATCCGTATCCACTAGTGTGTCTACTTCAACCTCAACTAGTGTGAGCACTCCAACAACGTCAGTTTCCAAAACTCTTTCAAGTGCAAGCACAACTATCTCAACTTCAGTGTCGACAAGTGTGTCTATTTCAACCTCAAAGTCTGTATCAACGTCGACTTCATTGAGTTTGAGTAGGTCAACAAGTGTATCAACGTCAGTTAGCACCAGCACAACCAAGTCAACATCAGTTAGTGTCAGTACTCCAACAACCACAGTTTTCTCGACATATTCCAGCGCCAGCACTAGCACCTCAACGTCAATTAGCACCACTTCAACTTCAACAAGTTTAAGCACACCCACTACATCCGCTTCCACGACATATTCCAGTGGCAGCAAGAGTTATTCCACTTCAGTGTCCACCAGTGTGTCTACCTCAATGTCAACAAGTAAGTCAAAATCAACCTAAACCTCTGCCTCAACATCAACTAGTATTTCAACTTCTGTTAGCACAAGCACCTCCACGTCAACATCTACAATTGTCAGTACACCAACAACAACAATATTCTCGACATATCCAAGTGCCAGCACAAGTACCTCATCATCAATATCCACCAGTGTGTCTACCTCAACGTCAACTAGTGTGAGTACACCGACAACATCGGTTTCTAAGACATTTTCATGTGCCAGCACAAGTACTTCGACATCAGTGTCTACGAGTGTCTACATCCACCTCTACATCTGTTTCACCATCGACTTCACTGAGTTCGAGTAAGTCAACAAGTCCCTCAACATCGGCTAGTACCAGTACAACCAAGTCAACATCAACAAGTGTCAGTACTCCAACAACCACAGTGTTCTTGACATATTCCAGGGCTAGCACGAGCACTTGGACGTCAATTAGCACCAGGTAGTCCACGACCTCCACAAGTTTAAGCACACCCACTACATCCGCTTCCGAGATATATTCCAGTGGCAGCAAGAGTTATTCCACATCAGTGTCTACCAGTGTGTCTACCTCAACGTCAACAAGTAAGTCGAAATCAACCTCAACCTCTGCCTCAACACCAGCTAGTATTTCAACTTCTGTTAGCACAAGCACCTCCACGTCAACATCTACAAGTGTCAGTACACTAATAACAACAATATTCTCGACATATTCAAGTGCCAGCACAAGTTCCTCATCATCAATATCCACCAGTGTGTCTACCTCATCGTCAACTAGTGTGAGTACACCGAAAACATCGGTTTCTACGACATTCTCAAGTGCCAGCACAAGTACTTCGACAGTGTCTACGAGTGTGTCTACATCCACCTCTACATCTGTTTCACCATCGACTTCACTGAGTTCGAGTAAGTCAACAAGTACCTCAACATCGGTTAGTACCATTACAACCAAGTCAACATCAACAAGTGTCAGTAATACAACAACAACAGTGTTCTCGACATATTCCAGTGCTAGCACGAGCACTTCGACGTCAATTAGCACTAGTGTGTCTACGTCGACCTCAACTAGTGTGAGCACTCCAACAACGTCAGTGTCCACGACAATATCAAGTGCCAGCACAAGTACTTCAACTTCAGTATCTACAAGTATATCAACTTCAACCTCGAAATCGATTTCAAGATCGACTTCATTGAGTTTAAGTAAGTCAACAAGTGCCTCAACGTCACTTAGCATCAGCACTTCCACATCAACATCAACAAGTGTTAGCACCAGTATCCGTGTCAGCACATCAGTATTAACGAGTGCGTCTACATCAGTATCTACTTCAACATCAACAACCTTGTCTCGGTGAGTCACTTAGAATAAGTTTCAAATTTCGTCGAAAACAAGTCTTCTTGGTCAAAGAATGTAGTAATCGCACAATTACCTACGTGAATATAGTTTTCTATGTTTTTTCTTACTTTTGGGGGAGGGATGGGGAGAGGGATAAGAATAAAGTTGAAAACCAGCTGAGCCAGCACGGAAGCGAATGAAGCGTCGTAAGGCTTTTTCCAAGGATGATAGTTTTCAACTGCATGTTAGGTCTTGTTATGATGTACTGGCCTTCTTACCCATGTAGTCTCATAGTTTTCTTTTTGGGGAAAAGAATTAAAAACGCGTACATTGAAAATTTTGTTGAAGAGGCATGCTTGTATTTTTCACCAGTTTGGTGACAACGACGACGCCAACCTTCACGACATCTGTTTCTTCATCGGCTTCAACAAGTCTGTCGAGCTCAATCAGTCCATCGCTGTCCTCCTGTGTTTCAACATGGTTTAGTTGTAAATTTCCTAAAATTTCTGAAAATTCTCACTGGATAAAAAATCTGAGAAAAAAGTAAGCATGGAATACGAGCTTGATCTTTCCTTGCTCGAGGAAAACTAAGTATGATTTTGCAATTTTGCGTACATTTTAGGAAAATTTGCGCGGTTTATCGTATAAACTCCTTCAGGATCAAATTTAAATTCGTATGGATTAGAAAACGTTATTTACCTGGCGGGTGGTGTGTATTGGAAAAACTGTGCTCAAGTCCAACGGTACGAATCAGACCGGTAAATAACATATTAACTTCTCCTTCCGGTTTTCTCTATTCCACTTTACTAAGAATGGCTGGGAGTAAAATTACGGGCCGTAATCTGCATTTTAAAAAGCTGGACCGTTACGAGCACATGACTAAGCAATCAGATTCGATGATTTGAGATTCCGGCCCGCTGAGATGCTTCTGACAAAAATAAATACCTGATGCAGAACCTTTATAATATTTTGTTTCTGTGTATTAAATTTAGTATCCAATTTCTTTTTATTCCCACATCGTCAATCTGTCCATCTTGCCTCTACATTAACAGCAAAAATGAGACGGAATATCATGCGGTGAGTAAAGTGGCTTCTATACCGTCACAAACAGAGAGTATGACTTCAATCGGCGGCAAAAATGTTGACACGTTACCAAGGAGGGCATAATCTTATCGAGTAGCCTCCACCAATGTTATCCCTAATACTCTTACAATTTTACTACAATGATACACCTGGTTTTCTGTTATTTTACAATACTGAAAGGGGCAGAAGGGTATTTTGGCGAGCAACACTTTCAGGATGATGAGAGTATACCCTTGTTTTTCCTGATCTTTATTTATTGTTCCCTTAGATAATTTTTGAAATATGTTG